CCCTCGACGCAAAAAATCACGCCCGCAGCCGCACGTTCTGCGCCCTCCGGACCGTCGCCGCTCGCAGCCCCCGCTTCCGCCCAATCAGCGCCCGCCCCCCCACGCGAACGACATTCAGATACACTAGATTTTTCCGTATTGGGCCGCCTGCGCCCGCATCCCATGCCTCCTCTCCCAAGCGCTTCATGTTATTTAACCCCCGCCGCCCGCCCGCCCGTCGGCCATCATCCTCGTCAGCACCGCTAACTTCCCCTGTCGCACACCCAACTCCCAACTCCCAACTCCCAACTCCGACATCATGATTTCCAAACGCTCTCCCCCCACCGGCTATTCAATTCCTCCCGCCCTCCGCCTCATCCTCACGACCGCGCTCCCCGCGCTGCTGCTGGCGTCGTCGATCTTCCTGGGGCTCTACCTCGTGGTGACGGTCGCGCTCTTCTCCCCCGCGGCGACTCCGTACGTCGGGCTGCACCAGTCGCTGGGCTACCTGCTGATCATTCTGGGGTACCTCCTCGTGCCGGGGCTCGCCGGGCTAGTCGTGCGTCGGCGCAAGGCCGTGGCGGCCGAGCAGGCGCTGGTGCACGTGGCGGAGCTGGCGCACGTTGCGCCGCTGCCGTGCGCCTCGGTGGCGCGCCGCATGCCGTGGGCGTGCTTGCTCCCGGCCGCCCGCATTTTGAAGGACGTCGACCACGTCGCGCCCTGCTGCCAGTGGGAGGGCGAGGACGAGCAGTGCGCCGTCTGCTTGATGGAGGTCGAAGAGGGGCAGCAGGCGCGCAAGCTCCGGTGCAGGCACGCGTTTCATGCCGGGTGCGCCGAGCAGTGGCTGGTTAATGTCAGGAAGAACTCGTGCCCTATGTGCTTGAGAAAGGTCGTCGAGAGACGGGATGCCGACATGAGAGTTGTGTCCCGGTAGAGGCGGGTTCCAAGTACAAGTACATTATAGCGGTAGAACAGGGATTTTATTATTGGTTTGTGAATATGGCCTGGTAAATAATGAGTTGAAACCACGTGTGCCTTGCCTGTTTCTGATTTCTGAGTCTGCGCGAGGGTGTGGCTCTTTCGGTGGGTCGGCTAGGGAGTGAGGGAAGGGGGGTGGGGTGGGGTGGGGGGAGGCGGAGTGATATGATCCGGGTGGAGCGGAGGGGCCTTGTTTGGGGGTGGAGTGTCGTTGCCGTGTTGATGCGATGATTCCGTTTTGACGAAGCGGCCGCGAAGTGATGTCATGAGGGCGACATGTTCGAAATGACAGGGCCTTTCTGAATCTGAAATTTGCGTGTACAGTAGACCTCTACTGT